GTGCGGTGGCTCTTATAGCTGTGTCCTTACATCTATTCCGTGTGTTGCAATATCCACGAAAGCAGCAGTTAATTTTTTATGAAGAAAATTATTACAAAATATTCGAAAATTTCTCTACTTATATGTTTGGCTTTTCTTTGTTTTATTTTTCCAACGTCAAAAGATGGATTTTTCTTTGTATAAGTTGGTACAACAAAAAATACGAAACACGTTTTCTGTCAGATAGCTAACATGGCGGATAAGAAGAAGAAGTGAAACTACCTTCTAAAAATTATTGTATCATGGTGCGCACATTCTCTAAATTGGTAATAATTGCTGCAGTTTATTTTTTTGCTAGAAATAAAAAACCAATTGTGTCCGTTTTCCTGGTTGCTGATTGCAAAAGATAATCATTATCAGAATGAAATTTAGATAAATAACATATGTGTATAGTATATATCATTTATTTGTATAGTATGTTACGGCCGCTGTGGTGTAGTGGTAAGCTGTGCGCGCTTTCACTCATCAGCATCTGGGTTCAAGCCCTGGTTAAAGCAACATCCCAAAAAATATGGGAAAAGGTTTTTTTTTTTTAACAGCGGTCATCCCTCGGCTGGCAATGACAAACCTCCGAGTGTATTTCTGCCATGAAAAACAGCTGCTCATTAAAATACAATCGCCGTTCGGAGTCGGCGTAAAACTGTAGGTCCCTCCGCTTTGTGTGACAACATCAAGGCGCACGCCACAAGTCGGAGGAGAAGCTCGGCCAAACACTAACATATGTGTAAGCGCCAATCTATTATTATTATTATGTTACATCAAAATTGTACAAGTATTTATGTTTTTGTATGCATTCATTTTCGTTTATTTTGCGGCTTTTATAATATATGCATAATGTTAGATTAAAGACCTAAAAAAGGCACACGTATTCACGCATTTGTATTTATAAAGATGCTAAACCTACTTGTATAATATATGGTTACTTAATACATATCTGTTTCGGAGTTTACGGACACGTTTTTTATTCAAAAAATTTTGTGAAGTATTTATGACTTATGACTACACTGTATGTATATGTCGGCTATATATGTATATGTAAATTTGTATAAAATTAGATTAAAAAATGAATGTGCTAGAAATGATCCACTTTTACTGAAACTGTATGAGCCGCGGCATTGCTTGGCAAATCGATATTGTCCCATTCTGTGTGCAAATTTTTTTCACTGTCTGTAGCTTTCAACGCCAATCCCAATGATGCTGTTCGGCCCGCACAATGCGGAATATTTAATGTCACAGGCGCTAAGAATTCGAGTCCCTGTGGACCACACATTACCAAAGGAGATAGCATTGTTTCACCTGTTGAAAAATGTGAAATAATAAGTATAATACATGTACATTGTATATAAGAGCAACATTAATAGAAAATTGAAACAATGTATTGAGCTGAATCTCTGGATTTTAGTTCATAATAAATACACCCAACATACAGTGGGGAGCGAAAATTAGTTAAATGTTTGCAAGGGTTTTAAATTTAAATTCTTTTTCGTTCTTTTTTTATAAACATATTATACATACATTTATTTATAATATTAAAACAATTTTCATTAAAATTTTGAGCCTTATAATGTGAATTTTAAAAACTTTTTGGATTTTCAGTTTTATAGCCTATTAGATAATAAAGTGCAAGTTTTAAACGGGTGAAAAATCGCGGTGGTTTTTAAAATATTTTTTGGTGACGGCTTTTGCGATTTTTTTTCACATAATAAGCACAATTTATAAAAACCGGCGTGGATTTTCTTAATTTTTTTTTCAAACGGTCTTGATATTTTCTTTTATAAGAAATTCATGGATGTTTGGAAAAAAGTGCATGAAGCCGTCAGCAAAAAAAAATGGTAAACATCAACGCGATGCTTAAAATTTCAAAAAAAAATTTAAAAAAAATCAGATTGATAAGTTCAAAATTATAATGAAAATTTGTTAAATTTTTTTAAGTTCTGAATAAAGCTTGAAAGGTTGATTTATAATCACCATGTACTCATTTCTGCTCCCCACTGTAAGTTAGTTATTTTTTAGTGTAAAGTTATACGGGTGCATATAAAAAGTCAGAGTGGGGAAATGTTTAGAAAGTCAACAAATGCGGAATTTACGCAATCAATGGATAAACAAGATTACCAACACGTTCGTGGACAACAGAGTTAGTCACTAGCATAAAATTATTATATACATACATATGTACATACAGTACATATCTAAAAAGCATGCTTACCAGGGGTGCCAACCGCTCCAACCTAAACGGTTCGGTTCAGTGGTTCGAACCACTAAGAATAGATGGTACCGTTACAAGAACAGTTTAATGAGTATCTTTGAACCGCGGTTCGGTTCTGTTTAAATGGTTCAATTTTACAAATACTAAAAGCATAAACTACCAAATCGCTGAGCGAATTTCGTCAGATTGGAGCGTTGCCGTGGTGATATTCGCCTTGTCAACTGAATGACAAATAAAAAAATATAACGAGTAGGTATATTTTAAGCAAAAAACATAACCGACTTCAATTCTCATATAAAAATTTAGGAGTTCCGCTAATTTCTTCATAATCCAATGATGGGATATAAACCAAATTAGTATGAGACCACCCTTGAAGTACCACCTTTCCGAAAAAATTATCGAAATCGGTTGACGAGGTTATGCAGTAACATACTTACAAAAAATATTCCCACGAATTGATAACCTAGTCCATTTTTTGAAGTCGGTTCAAATACAAAAGCGAACAAATGAATACAAATTTCTCCCATTCTGCTTCTTTATGATAATTATCTGAAAAAATGCGACGAAGTTTGCTCATCGATTTGATTTTCTTTAAACTTTAAATAATAGTAATACCATAAAAATTAAAAAAAATACTACATATAAAATTCAAATATGCACAATGTTTAACAAATCTATGCTAATAAACTGGTGTCCGTGCATGATGAAATGAAGTCGGAAGGTAACTATTACTTAAGAGGTTTTAATAAATTATATAATTTATTATCCAATTGTTTTCAAATACTCAGAAAGGCGAAATTAAGATAAAATGAATTAACTTCTTAAAGGTTTGGATGAGTCGTAAGACCTCAAAATCTTGGCTTAGGGTTGAATTCAGACTATCCTCAATTTCGAACTTAACCCCCTAATCTGTAATTAAAAAACAGATTAGCCATACAAAATTCATCCCTCGTTAATCTGTAATTATAACATAATCTCAGTTTAAATTGATAACTTTTTGGTTTCCAACCTAGATTTGTCCATTATTTGATACAAAAATTGACCTAATTTATCTGAAAATACCACAGTGGCAGAGAAAAGAAATTTAACTTATCCTTGCTTTGTGAGTAAAACTAGCACATCAAATTTGACAGCTAACACAGGCCAATAAAAATGGTAAAAATTGTTGTGTGGCAAATGCTACAGCTGTTTTTGATACGACTTTTTTCTGCTGATTACTAATCCGTAAGCATAAAGATTCAAGAAAAATGAGGGCAACGTGTAAAAATCGTTTTTTTGCAATATTTAAGAAGCAAAGAAAAAAAGGCTAAATATCTTTCCATTTAGGCCTTAATTAAAGCTAGAACTCTCGACTGCTATCCCTCAAAATACCGTCCCTGCACCTTGACTTGATAGGCATTTATTTAATAGCAAAAACTTATTTTGGCGAAGTTTGAGTACCTACTCCAATTTAACAAAAGTTTATAGAACCTTCCGCCGCCGCTGTGATGTAGTGGTAAGCAGTGCGCGCTTACACTCCGCAGGGCAGGGCCGGATCTACTGGGAGGGGCGTAATAAGTGAAAAAAATGGTCAAAAGTAGTGTTCTCCGAAAAAAAACATGCAAAATCCACGGGATTTATTCCAAAACAAAAAATTTATATATTTCTTATTATACTAGTATTATAGATTTTGAGACGAGAAACACGATTCCACTGCTCAAAATTCGAAAAAATGTCAACCTCTCAATTTGAAAAAAAAATATTGCGTAAAATGTCGAATGAAATTTCAGAATCGTAACTATTTAGTTCTCAGACTTCTACCTTTTCTCAAATTAAAGGTCTTGCATAGCACTTAAATTGTGTGAAGGATGCACAGCTGCATGCAAATCATAAAAAATGCAATATGTATATAATACATTTTTTCAAATTGAGAGGTTGGCATTTTTTTTCGTTTTTTAAACAGTGGAATCGTGTTTCTCGTCTCAAAATCGTTAATATTAATATAATATAAAGTACAAAAAATAATTTTTTTTTAATATATCCGTTGGATTTTGCATGTTTTTTTGAAAAACAATATTTTTGACCAAACATATGACTGACAACAATGATTTATAAAAATATAATTCATTTATAAACAATATCTAATAAAATAAAATAAAATGTCTATCATACGTGGGCGTACAAAATTTTTGATTCTCATTTCCCCCCTCCTAAAATCGGGTTCACGATCCGGCCCTGCCGCAGGTCCTGTGTTCAAGCCCAGCCAAAGAAACATCGCAAAAAAATTTAGAAAAAAGGTTTTTTTCTTAANATTTATAAAAATATAATTCATTTATAAACAATATCTAATAAAATAAAATAAAATGTCTATCATACGTGGGCGTACAAAATTTTTGATTCTCATTTCCCCCCTCCTAAAATCGGGTTCACGATCCGGCCCTGCCGCAGGTCCTGTGTTCAAGCCCAGCCAAAGAAACATCTATAGAGTAAGCAACATAAAGGTTTTTTTCTTAACAGCGGTTGCCTCACGGCAGGCAATGGCAATCCTCCGAGTGTATTTCTGCCATAAAAAGCAGCTTCTCATAAAAATACAACAGTGTTGCTAGAAAAAAATTATCAAATCCTCAAAAACAAATGAAAATATGAGTATTGTGTACTCCATCCAAGAAATGCGATGGACGGGGCAAGGAAAAATAAGCGTGAAGCCTNAAAAAGCAGCTTCTCATAAAAATACAACAGTGTTGCTAGAAAAAAATTATCAAATCCTCAAAAACAAATGAAAATATGAGTATTGTGTACTGCATACTATTTACAGGTACTTATTGTGAAAATTAATTAAATTCTCCAATTCAATTGGTACATTTGTTCTTGCGGTTCAAACAAAGTATCACTGTTGTTTTTAATGCCTTGGTTTGTATATAATATTGCTGCAACTATATCAGTGCTCAATCTGGTCCTCAAGTCAGTCCCACACTTTTTTAAATTACTAAATATACGTTCTACTGAAGCATTTATTTAGCAATGCAGATATAATTTTCTTTAATTAGGAAACTTATATGANCTGGCCGTGTGTTCGCCGAGTACTGGCGTTCACCCCGGTGGACGAACGTCTAGCCACAATCNTTTTTTAAATTACTAAATATACGTTCTACTGAAGCATTTATTTAGCAATGCAGATATAATTTTCTTTAATTAGGAAACTTATATGAACCTGAAGAATCTTTTAATACAAAAACTTTTTCCCTATAATTTTCTGGATCTGGAGGATGGTTCCGTGCGCAGAAGTGGAAAACTTCTGACTGCCATTCACCTGGGTGTGGCCAGAAGCGATTCTTGTGCGTGCGGTTAAAATCGCAGCTCACAACTTCCGGATATTTATATCCACTTATCCTCTGGGTCGCAACCAAACACCCGTTTGGGAGCGAGCTAAAGTGAGAAGGCGTAAAACTTCGCGTGCGCTGGGTTTGGGTCCCGCCACGTTAAAACCCCGCCCAATGAAAA